TATAGAAAATCAAAACAAATGATTCAACGAAGAGACTTTTCAACGAATTTATCATCAAGCTGTACAGTCGTATATATATGGTTTATTTAAGAAGCTATATCCGGTGACGGAATTTAAACATAGGTGTGAATGCATAAAATAATAATAATAATAATAATATGAAATACAATTAAAACTAAAATCTTTGTGATTATAATCGTAGTTAAATGTCAAGTGGCAAAGCAAATTAATGTCATATATAGAATAATTCATAGGATGGATAGAACTTGAAAAAGGTGTGCAATTATAAGATTAGTAAACAAATCGAATAAAATAAAAACGTTACGTAATATTGTGTGGAATTTCATAGCATAGAATTTAATGTTACATGAAGGAATTGATTTAGAATGACAAGTGGAACAAGTGAAATAATACCGGGGACAATTAAAAGTGAGAGTAGCAACAGTTACAATTGACTTAATAAGGAAGAGTACACAAATTGAATAGACAAAAATGAAAAGATGAAAAATTGGTAGAGCTAAAATATGATTAGGGATTACCATACTTTAGCATAGAGGGATTAAGACCATGAAAGTTGGAGGGGTTGAACGAACTTTTTCTGTACACAGAGATCTGGCTTTTCTCTTTCGATAGCCAAAGCTTCAGCAATACAGATGAGTCGGGTACATAGGGATTTGGGTAGATTACTCTTTGCCTTGTAGATGACTTTGAAGGCGGAGGCTATAGAGATAGGGTGATCATTATCGACCAGATGTTCAATGATCGCGCTTCTTATTGCTCCACTACTACCTTTTCGTAACCATGCAGAGGGATAGTGTTCTTGCACCCTCTTGGACAAAACTCGTGTTGAACGACCGATATACCTAGCTCCACACGAGCATGTGAATTGATAAACACACATAGAGTTGTTCAACAGCTTCTTAAAAAAACCCACGTATATACGATTGTAGAGCTTGATGATAAATTCGTTGAAAAGAGTCTCTCGCTGAATCATTTGTTTTGATTTTCTATAATATTATTATCCTGTGTAAAAATGTCTATCATGTACTTCCAATAATATGAAAATTTATAATTGTAGTTTGTTATACCTACCCGTTTAATGAACTTAAATTATCCATGTAGGGTGAAAAAGAGGGTGTAAGAGTCAAACGCAGAAGTGAATTGTCATCTTTGAGCAGTCTGCTGACTGAGGAGAAGGACACTGCGAGTGTGTTTACATCGCGCACATCAGCTGGTAGTCTATTCCAAATGACTGAAAACTTATTTAAGAAGAAGTTGTATCGCATATAAATCTGACAATGCTCTATAGCAGCTAGGTTGCGATGATTTCTAAGATTGTAACTGATGACAGCAGTAGGTTTATTATTGGCTCGGAGGAGTGCACGAGCAGATGAGTTAGTTTGTAGTAAAAAATCAGGTTCAGCTTAAGACGTCTTTTCCAGAGTGTTTCTAATCTTAGTCTTTCATAACGTTCAGAGTATTCGAGACCACTTTATAAACCAAGAGTTCTTAAGGTTAATTGCCGTTGCACTCCCTCTTGTCATTTTCGCTCAGTCCGCTGAGAATAAACGGGCAGTATTCTAAAATAGGTCGGACACATACTTTGTATAATAAAACCCTAGTGTCACAAAAAAAGAAATTGCGAGTTATGCAACCTAGTGACTGGCGATTTTAACTCATGCGATCACTCCTTCCTTATATCACTTGTTCATGACGATATTGTTTACTTTGCTACCCGTCTTGGAAAAACACTAGATATAATAATAATAATTTATAATAATAATAATAATAATTTATATTTCATATGAACATAAATTTACATGAAAATACATGCCATTTTTACAGGCACGATCAAGTATGATACAATGTCAAATAGTAGATTGCCTACAAGTTAGTAATGTTTGAACAGCTAAATATTTGATATATGTATAAATACACTCTTTGTCTGACCCATGTCGTATCATTATTGAATTGAACAGTAGTCCTCCAGGTTGCGCGAGAAAATCGACTTCGTTTCGTTTTCAACCCGTAGTTGTAGGCATACGATAACCAACCAATATTGAGGTAAGTACAACGTTTACAAGGGATAGTAAGCTGTTTTAGAAAAGTAAAGGTGCTAAGGCGAATCATTAAAGTGTAATGAAAAAGGTAAATGCAAGGTATCATCAATAGATCCATTGATAAAGGAAATACAATGGGAGAATATAATCCCTAGGTTGACAAAGTTCCTTTGCAACGTATAATGCTACCCATATAGGTTTTACTATCATGTTGTCCACTTTTGGTTTTAATACAATTATCCACAAGCCGGTTGTTTTAATTTCATACCTTTTTGTGTATGTGGTGCACAACCGTACCCTATAGAGAATAGGAATAGAATAAGTCGAATCAAATTCATAAAGAGCTATAAAATGTTAGGTTTAGTGCAATATAATTAGGAGCAAGTGAAGACGTTATTAGAAAATGAATGAGATGAGACATTGTTAAGTGATATTCGAAGATACGACAAAGGAAAGCATGTCAATTTATAAGATGCCCCATAAATCTGTGCAGAGCCCACGTGGTCGCATCTCAGCAATAGGCTGACCGAATGGTATATGTTTAAAGGTAGAAGCATGATCTGTTCAGGCGATCATTATTATCTTATTCAAGATAAAGATTCAAGCCCTCATAGAAATCTCGAGCCATCAAATTGTATATTGCTGTTCCTGCAGAATGGGGCGATTCACCTTAGTGTCCACCACCATAACTACTGATCAGCATGAGCCACCCTCCCTCCTTTTATGATGTTAGGCTCTGATTGTTATGGCTACAGCAAATATATTGCTTGGTGCCAGACACGTTCGTACCTCACATTCTATTTCCCCAGCTTTCTTAGTGAGTGCTTCCAAGAGATCTCCACGTACAGATTTAGGAACATATTATATATGTGTGCATGCGTCCTAATGAACAGATTAGTTTATAAGATGTTAAACCCTTAAAGAGTAAAAAGAAGAGGTTTTGTGAATAGTGGAGCAAGATTCATCAGAACACTACAGTTAGAGTTCAATGTAGGTAGTATGAACTGAAGGTAAGGTCGGTTGGCAGGACTTATTGTACTAAATTATCATGACAGTCTTTTATATAGTAAACATTTGACATTGCAAAGTAACCAGTCTACACATATTATAAAAAGATATTAACACAGAACCAACAGAATTTTAACATTTGGTTAACAATGCTGCAGTGTGTGTATACTGAAGAAGCGCAGTTAGTCTTACAGGGATCCGTGGTATGTGCAGTACCCGTGAAGCACTGAAAGCGGACCCAGAGACGGTAGCAGATTTACTGACTCCATTATTGCAAAAGGTCTGGTAGGAGGGAAAGGTGCCTACTGACTGGAGGAAAGGTTACCTCGTGAAACTACCAAAGGGTAACTTAGGACTCTGCAAGAACTGGCGAGGAATCATACTCCTGTTGACGACGAGTAAAATTCTGAGTCGCATCATCCTGGAGAGAATAAACGACGCACTGGATACAGAACTCTGACAACCAGATCAAGCTGGGTTCAGGAAAGGCAAATCATGCTCTGACCAAATTGCAACTCTATGCATCATCATCACAGAACAAAGCATGGAATGGCAATCAAACCTCTACCTCAACTTCCTTCATAGACTCTGAGAAGGCCTTCGACAGCGCAGCGTTGACCGCGAAGTAATTTGGAAACTACTCGAGTACTGCGGCGTACCTCAAATATTCATCAACCTTATTCAACAGCTGTACGACAACGGCACATGTCAAGTGATCCACAATGGAAAACTCAGCGAGGCTTTTGGAGTAAACACAGGAGTCAGACAAGGGTGCTTATTATCACCAATGATATTCCTAATTGTGGTGGACTGGATTATGCGTCAGACAGTGGGAAACGAGAAGACAGGCATATCCTGGACCGACGTGAAGAATCTAGAAGACCTGGATTTCGCGGATGACTTATGTTTGATGTCACACAAAATCGAAGACTTACAAGCGAAAACCGACAAACTGGTCGAAGAAGCAGCAAAGACAGAACTCCAGGTGAACATAGAAAAAACGGAGGTTATGAAAATAACCAACCAACCAACCAACAACAACAGCAGTAGCAACATCCAGCGCCAATCACCGTCAACGGGAGGGATTTGAAAGAGGTTACTTCATTCGCTTATCTAGCTAGGGAGCATTATCTTAACTACAGGAGGAACGGACGAGGATGTCAAACCGAGAATCGGGAAGGCGAGAAACACATCCACCGACCTGAAACCAATCTGGAAATCTTCGTCACACAGCATCAACAACAAAATTCCGATTTTCAATACAAACGTCAAGTCAGTCAGTTCTTCTATACGGATCAGAAACTTGGCGGCAGGTCACAAAGAATATTTCCAACAGCCTGTTGCAGACATTTATCAACAGCTGTCTTCGCTCCATACTGAAGATCAGATGGCCGGCCGGAAAGAATCACCAACAAGAAACTATGGGAACAAACAAAACAAGAACCAATCGCTCAACAAATATGCAAGAGAAAGTGAAGATGGATTGGACACTCTCTGAGGAGGCCGCTGGGTGACATCGCGCGTCAGGCCATCGCTTGAGTGGAACCCGAAAGGGAAGCGGCGAGTGGGACGTCCAAGGGTGACATGCAGGAGATTGTGTGAAGATGAGCTGAAACAGTATGGACTAACATGGATGCAGGTGAAAAATACAGCAGAAGACAGAAGCAAGTGGAGACGTGCAGTTGAAGCCCTATGTTCCACTAGGAACCCAAGGGAACAATAATAATAATAATAGACGCTTATCTCTTATGTGCAGTACCAATAAATGTCTACATTTCATTCTTCTGTGATGTTTCAAAGTGTGACAATGTAAACGCATGCAATCTCATAAAAATTTAAACGTTGATCCATATCAGTCATTAGATATTGGAAAACCCACGAGATAAATTTAAAACCGATCTGTTAACTACGATAAAATAAAGAATTGGAAGCACAAACATGAACGAAAACTTTAAACAAATAATTGGAAAAGGGCGTAAAATGTGTTTGCATTCTTTTTTTTCGAGCACAGAAAGGATGTCAAAAGTCGTGAATGATTTGCCAAATCATGTGGAGAACTGGGTGTGTTATGATTCTTATATTCCTCCCTTATATACTTTAAAAAGCTAAGTGTTGGATGATTAAAAAGCTATTCAATGATGCAACACAGGTTAAACTTACAACTATCGGCTGAAAATATTCTTCAATCACTGAGTCATTCAGAAAATAACAACACAGTGCAAAAGGTTGGAGATAAGCATATATTAAACTGAGTGATAAATGCTCTGTCCTATCAGTTGACTGCTGCTCTTCCTCCTTTTTGTCTTCCTCTACGTTTTGCTGTTGTTGTTGCGGTTTCTCATCGTTATTCTCTAGAGCCATAAGACGTGATTTCAATCGATCGAAACCGGACAGCCTTCCAAATAAATTGATGAAATCCAACAAAACCGGTGCATCTTCATAATTAACATATGGAATAGAATATTCTCTTAAATTTAAAGAGGTGGAACTATTGAGGTGTGATGAATTCTCATTCGTTTCTTCATAGTTCACTTCTTCCTGGTATTCCTGCATGTTTAACTTATTCACTGATAAATGCGGTAATAACTTAATGATATTGTCAAATCGGCAAACAGCGTTCTTATCAATTCCGTAACGAATTTCTTGTGCCACATTGGTGGAATTAATACTACGTTTATGAAAGCTGTAACATTAAATACAAGAAAATATTAAGTGAAAGGAAGAGGCTGAAAATGGTTCTTACACATTTTTAAACAATTCACACTCGATAAAAGTGGACCAAAGATGATGCAAACTTTATTAACCGAAATCCCTTCGAATCTTGCAATTTCAAAGGTCACAACCGTATAACAGGATTATATTATTATTACTCCCTTGAATTCCGAGTGGAACATAGGGTTTAGACAACACATCTCCGCTTTCTTCTATTCTCTGCCGTCCTCTTCAGCTGGCTTGCTCCATGACTGACCAAACTCTCCATCTCTTCCTCACACGATCTCCTCCATGTCACCCTTGCACCGACGACCCACTCGTTGCTTCCTATTGGGATTCCACTCGAGCGATGGCCGGCATTGCACGCGGTGAAAGTCGTCGGCCTCCTTAATGTGTGCTCGGTCCATCTCCATTTTCACCAACATATCTGTTGAGCAATCGGCTCTTGGATGACTTGTTCCCAGCTAGCCAGAGTTTCTTGTTATTAATTCTTTCTGGCTGGCTGGCCATTTCATCCTCAGTATGGAGCCAGAGAAGTTGGCAGCTGTTGACAAAAGTCCGCAAACTGTTGAAAATGCTTTTCATGACACACTGGCCAAGTTTCTGACCCGCATAGAAGAATTGACTTTACATTGGTGTTGAAAATCCGAATCTTATTCCTTATGCTGAGCACTGTGCAGAAGATTTCCAAACTGGTTTCAGGTTGATGAAGGCGTGTCTTGCCTTTCCGACTCTGACTGGTTAGCTTTGACATCTTCATCCGTCCCGAATTCCTGTGGTTAGAACGATGCTTCCCAACCGGATAAGTGAAGGAGGTTACCTTTGTTAAATCTCTCCCATTGATGGTGATTGGTGCCTGTTGTTGTTGCTGTTCGTTGGCTATATTCATTACCTCCATCTTCTCAATGTTCACCTGGAGTGTTGTATTTTCTGCCTGCTTTTTCAGCCAGTTTGTTGGATTTTAACTGTAAGTCGTCGAATTTGTGTGATATGAAACATTAGTCATCCACGTGCGAAATTCAGATCTTCTAGAGTCTTCTTATGGGTCAGTGCAGTATTCTTTATAGGTTTATTCATCTGGGTTGATCTCTTTCCGGACAGGGACTTGGTTATTTGATTTAGTGTCCTGATGGTTCTTTCGGTTGTGGCCTGTTCTGCCTCAGTTCCTAGTGTGTCGTAGAATTGTCTTTTACTGTTCGTGGCACTCTTCTACATTGCCTTATTCAGTGCGATGTACACTGAACTCAGCTTCTCCTTCTGTTGCTCATCTTTGCATTGAGTCATCTTCTCTTTCACTATCGTTCTTTCCTCGATTAGCTTCCAGCCATTTCTCATCTTGTCTCTTCCTTCTTTCTAGAACAGTTGTACACTTTTCCTTGAATATCGCTTTCAGAGAGTTCCAATGTTCTTCCACACAGGTTTCCCCAGTGATTCCACGTAGTGTCTCCGACTTCGCTCTGATCAGATATGTATTGAGGTATCCTTTGTAGTTTTGTCCAGTTTCTGAATGTTGAACATGCATTACAGTGGTCTGTCTCCAGTTGTTTTCATGGATTTCAGTTTTACCTTGAAGGTTCTTTGAACCAGATGATGGTCCGAGCCCACATCTGCTCCCCTTCTCAACTTTGTATCCAGCAGACTAGCTGCGTATCCACTTCCTTGAGAGGCAACATTGAGATGAAATCTATCTGGTTTGTGGTATGTTTGTCAGGCGAAATCCATGTTGCTTTGTGTATATCCTTGTGTTTGTACACGCTTCCTCTGACTACCAAATCATTGAAAGAGCAGAAGTCTGCGAATAATTCTCCGTTCTTATTCATGCCTCCGAGCCAGAGCCTTTCAACCCATGATGAGTTCTCTCCTTGTATTATCAGGTTCCAGTTTGGCATTCATATCACCCATAAGGGTTTTGATGTCTCTATTTGGGATGTTTTCCATTACTGTTTGTAGTTGTCTGTGAAAATCTTCCTCCTTCTCTTGTTTCGCGTTGTTTGTAGCATTGGATAATTGTAACCTTCCTTCTTTTTGAGTTGGATTTTGTTGTCGTAATCCTGGATGAAATTGGTTCCCATTGCATTAGGGCTCTGGCTGCTACTGGTGGCATCATCATAGTCACTCACTGCGAGCTAGCTGAGGGGTCTCCTGACAATCCTAAAGTGAGTTTTGCAGATTCACCTTATAATAATAATAATAATTTACTTTATTCCAAAAACAGTACTTGTGATACAGAATGGAATTTTCAGCATTAATCACAATATTGCATCTAATTTCCTCAAATTATAAATAAAATTAATCACATAGAAAATTTTTCTACATTTACAATAGGGTTAATATAAAAAAAATAAAAAACATGCAGCATATAAAATGGAAATAATAATAATGATAGCAGCTAAGGTAATGATAATAATAATAATACAAGTGAAAATTGCCGTCGGCTTGTTTCACACAGTATTGTCGATGCGGTATACAAATCCTTGCATGATTAAAAATATTGAATATGATGTTCTCTTTACATGATATGGTGAGGGGAAAAACAAAGATTACAGCAGTCATAGAGATAAGTTGGTGTTTGCAGTTATGAAAGTGAGAACAAGAAGCAACAGGACCATAAATATAATAGAAATAATAAAAGTAAAACTTGAAGGTATATAAGGATGGATGGAGGAGATTGTTTATTTACTAGATGAAAAAAGGTTAGTCAATTCTTGCCTGACGCTATTTTCATCACATAAAATACGTGCCAAGTATGGTATCATAGAATTTTGATACTTAGACGTGCGAGCATACAGTTTTCTGAAGTTACTTCTTGTTCTACCTGAGGATATGCAAGGTGAAAGCTGAGGGTGAAGTGGATGCTCCAAGTCAGACAAAATCCCTTTAGCAAATTTACTGCACGAAGTCAAATGCCTATCGACAACGACGTTAACTATGTAGTCCACTGGGACACCACTCATCCTACTGACAGTCTTCAGCATTCTACGAATTGTGACAAAGTCCTTTTTAAGCAAACCAGGAAAGAATAAGGGTGAACAATAAAGAAGAATAGGTAGGATGCAAGAGTTTATGAACTGTAAGAGGAGGGGTTGAGTTATACCCGAGTGCCTTAACTTCTTAATGTAAAATGTCAGGCGGAATATTTTACTGGAGATCGCTGAGACATGGGAAGACCAGGAGAGATCAGAAGAGAGAATAAGTCCAAGATACTTAATTTCTGATTTAATTCCTATATCATTGTCATCAATCTTACAACTGTCATAAGAATCGACGGCTTCTTTTAACTGTCGTTTACACCTTAAGCTGAAATTAACAGTTTGACATTTAGAAGGATTCAGTTTAAGACCGTTAGACTCAGACCATTTACTGACTTCCGACAGAAAGCTATTTATTTTGGTACAATCTAGCTGGGAGTTAACAGCCACTGAAACAGTTAAATCATCAGCGTACTTCACAAAATTTATTTCATCAGACTGAGGCAAGTCATGTAAGAAGAAAGAAAAAAGAAAAGGAGAAAGGACAGCGCCTTGAGGGACACCAGCTTCAGTAGGCAATGAAGTGGAAGACTTCCCTTTATACACGGTGTACTGCTTTCTTTCTGAGAAATAAGAGTGTAACCAGTTAACAGCCCAACATTCTGTTTGACTTACAGCAAGTTTATTTAACAAGATGTCCCTAGGGACCGAGTCAAAAGCAGATGTATAGTCTAGGAAGGCACAACGGACAAATTTAGCCCCTTTGTCTAGACTGGAAGCAATGTTATGATATAAGACGGCGGCTGCATCTAAAGTGCTTCTACTGTGCTTATAGGCAAACTGTTTTGGGTCATTAAAGGATTTAAGAGAGGGTGCAAGACTAAGTAAAAGTAGTTTCTCCATAGTTTTCAAAAAAGGAGAGGTAATAGCAATGGGTCTAAATTTGACACATGCTCCAGTAGACGATTTAGGTATGGGTACAACTTTAATGTCTTTCCAAACAGCAGGCACAATATTACTGGAAAAAGATTTGTTAAACAGATCAGTGAGAGGGTAACATAGAATATCAGAACATTTTTTGAAAATAATACTAGGTACATGATCTGGACCTAAGCTCTGGGAAGGGTTCAGAGACTTGAGGCACTTTTGAACATCATTTGTGTTAAAACCTGGAAAGGGGCTATTATTAACACTAGTGATACTGGGAAGCATGGAATTTGAGGGGGAATAAATAAAAGATTTATTAAGAGTACATACATCAGAAGAATACGGAATATTGTTAATCTGCTTATCACCAGTGATTTCCTTAAATAGTTTCCACATATTTGAAGCATTTTTGCAGGATATGAATTTCTGATTTTATATAACATTCAATCTCTGCATTTCAGACTTGATAAGGAAGTTAGTTCTTTTTACGCCACTTTTATCTTTCATTTTATATAGCTTTCCCTTCTCTCTACGAAGCTTTTTAAGTTGAGGGGAGGAGAAACGGTCGAATTTGACGAATAATGTTTCTTTTGGGCAGCAGATTTCAAAACAGAATTTCAGATAAGACGTAATATTAGAGATTGTGTCATCAAGTGAAACATCATTAAACAGATCCCATCTTGTGTCACTGAGCATGTTTCTAAGATGTTGTACATTCTCATTTGAGTAACATCTGTGAACAACTTTCTTGGACAAGTTAGAGAAGGCTTTTTTGTGTAACTTTCCGTAAACTTCGGGTAGAACTCGTACAATACAGTGATCAAAGTTTGAGAGTGGAGCTCTTTTACGAGCTTCGTATATTCCAGAATCATTTATGAATACTAAATCAAGCGAAGGATCTTGTCGAGTTGGGAAGTTAACCACATTTTCATGACCCAGCAATGTAATAAAACTGTAGTCACTGGCGTTGAAGTCACCAGTTACTACAGACAAGGAGTTACCAAACGAAGCAGCAGCAAAAATAGTGAATTCGTCAGCAAAGATCGATAGTTCTGAGGGACTGCAAGAAGGTGTGACATAGATATTTGTGACAAAAATGCAGTTATACTTAGATAAGTGTTTAGGTCGGCATTTAACAGTTATACAATCAATATTGTCATTTGAGAATTTGAAGCAGACGTTGTTGGCAGTAGACCACTGAGAATTAATAAAAGTGGCCACACCTCCACCTCTCTTCTTCTTTGAGCTGCATCGGTCTTGTCTGTACATTGTAAAATCAGGTAAAGAGACCAAATTATCGTCATATGAATCGTGCAGCCAAGTTTCTTGAAGAGTAATTACAGCAGTGTTACAATATACATTTGAGTATAATAGAGAATGCAAATAATTAATCTTGTTTGGTAGAGATCTGCAATTTGTGCTCATAATCACAGGAACAGTCATCAAATGCATTGGAGTACGCTTTAAAGCTCGTTGCCATCCACCATGAGGCTTTTTCTTAAGTTTGTTAGAAACGAGTAAATTAGCCGGTTGGAAACTTTTTAAATAACCGCGAGAGTAAACAATGCGATTAGGACACATAATTGAATGATTAAAATAAAATAAATACGAGGAAATAGATGCAATATATAGGATGGAAATTTTGGTAGACCAAGATGTTGGCCACGGATCATACGGACCACCGTAGGCTGAGTCGGGATGTACCCTCTCTCTCCAGAGTGGAGAGACAGCATAGCTGGCATGCTGGTCATCTGAGGGAAACACCTCACTGCTGTTACACCCCTGTTCCCCCAGCAGTACGACTTCGCCCTCAGACCCCCAGCATAGTGTAAGAAAGATTATTACACAATGCCGGTAACTGCTTTTAGTTTAATCGCTATCCTAACAATCTTCCTGGCGTGGTAGGACCTGCAGGAACAGAAGTCCCAGCCAGTGTAGTTTGTTGGGTCATTGTGATGTGCAAGCCCGACAACCACGTCAAAGTAGCAGCTATCTCTGTTTACCATAGTTTGGGACCGGCTAGAAAACTAGGCGAGGTGGTATAACAGGATAGAGGACACCAATAGATTGCTAATGCAATTTTTATTGACTAAGCAACTGATTCACTCCAGAGTCGAAATCTGCACAGAAACGTTTTAGTTCGAATTAAAATAACCTCACACCCAATCCCATCTTCCCCAGGCTAATTACCGGGCTAGTCAATCAGACGAGATTCAGAAGTGTACTGACTAAGAATCCAACCTGGTGCACCAGCTGGGTTTTTAAGCATTCCACCACTAAATAAACACGGAACTACTGAAGTAGGTACAGGATTTAAATTAAATAAGTATTTTTTGTCACCAAAATTAGAAAGGAAACTACATCAAGAATACAACAATTAACGAAGAAAAACCGTAGACGAAGACATAGTTCACAGTGAATACAGAACCGGTCATTTCTAACCATTCCTTACAGTGGGGGAGACTATAGCTCAAGTGTAAGTTCAAAAGAGAAACACCCTTTTACAGTTTCATACCCATCTGATCTACAATACGCACCTAAACTAAACTAATCTGATTTATCTACATATGACAGAGTGGGAACAAGTACATGATACAAAATGATTACTTTTAAGTTCCTACACCAATTCATTAGTCATTACTAAAAGCTGACAATACAACCAAAATACTCATATCAGATGGAACAGACTGAGTCTAACCATGTATTTGTGTTCTCTGAACTGAATGGTTTGGTTGAGAATCTTTTATAGTCTTACTAGACAACATCCTTCCTCACACTTCAATTTGAAGCTTTTAAAATTCTCCACGAGTTTATAAGTTATCCCGCCTGGTAACCTTGAACGTAACCCGGCGTTTTGTATATTTCCTCATAAATATCCATCATTTTACCCATGTGAACCAATATTTGAGTAGTGTACTAGTGTAAATCGATAGCAGCTCAGATGCATTAATAATAGATATCATAACTCGTGAGATGAAAGTTAAAATGATTGCCATTAACGCGCGGACGCAACCCAGTGGGGTAATACCAATTCCAACGATGTGATGTAACGTAAATATTAAAGTATTTAAGTTACCCACAATGAAAACAACTCACCGTGAATGAGGATCGAATAGAATGCTTTCTAGTTCTAATATAGGTGTGCAATCAGATTTAGCCTTGAATGAATATAGTTCAATAGCTAAAAGAGCATTGGCATAAATAAAATGCTTTTAAAAATGAATTCGTTAGTTGAATGAAAACTAGTGTAATCATACCAATACATGAGAATCCCACCGACTGACAGCATCGTCCTGGAATATTTTTGTAAAAGAAATTATCAAGCCATCAAGAATAAAAACGTAAGCATTCTTCTGAAAAAATGTCTTCACCTAGATTTTAAAAAAAGAAAATATTTAGAAATATATATTTTTGCAGAACCATTTTTAGCCATATTAATCGACGCTATCAGAACAATTTCCAGTTGTGATTCGGGTAAAACAGGCACTTGCCATTGACGTCGTGACAACAAAGAATTAAGAGTAGTTAACGCATCCACTGGAAATGTGGCTTGCATTTCTCTTGGGGATAAACTGTCATTTTTGGTAGCCATTGAAGCATTAACGACTGAAATATTCGGTGGACTATCATTAGGAAGTTGGTCTTGTCTGTCGGTTCTAGTATTCATGGTAGGTTAACTGAAGAAAAATAAGTAGAAAATTTTTAAAAAAACGATGAGCACATAAAAACACTGAGAAATACCACTTAAATCAGATACATACTGCATAATTACCAAGTAATTTAAGTTAAAGGGTATGCAATAACATTGCAGGGTAATACATTGACAGAAAAAGACCGTACGGAACAGTACTGAATAAGAATGTCGAATGTGACATTAACTTGTGATGCATATTTTAGAGAGTAAACTGGTTTTAAAGTGCCCCGCTAAAGTAAAAAAAATGCTGTTTTTTCTTAGTGAACTGAACAAAACCTAGCTACATTCGGTGACTACTTTGTAATTGTTACCATTCAGAAAAATTAGTGACTAAAATAAATGAAATGATTTCTGAGGCTAAACTTGTGTGATGTCTGAATAAATTTCAAACAAATAAAGTCACTCAGCTGCTCTCTTCTATTCAATCCCAATTAAGATGGAAATACCTATCTAGACTTCTTGCATGACAGATGAGGGTTTCTGATACATCAGTCTCCTGAATGACAATCAAAACTGTTGCTGAAGTTAGATGGAAAATTGAGCGACCATATACTTGGATAGCTCAAGTAGTAAGTTGGAATATAAACAAGATACCACTGCAGGAAGAGTTTCACTTTTAACTTCACCATCCACTCACATTAATAGTAACCTGTCACACGTGAAATAATGAAGATATCTCACAATTCAGGATATTCAGGTTGCAATTGCTATAATTTTAGGACGAAGAAAAACAATATATCTCAAATGCATACTTCGTATTACTGAGAAACAAAATCGCTAGTATAGTTGTAAGAAGACGATTTAATCCCAGATCTCTTCTTAATTCATTTAAGCAGGAATGGAATTGAACATATATACAGTTCTTTAAGAAACCCTGTCCTCAATTACAAACAAGTCTAAAGCAAATAGACGAATACTCAGATGATGAATTCTTCCATGAGTACCTCGAATGATACACATACTTTAGTATGTCGACGTTCCCCGAGTATGTAGGTCGTCCGTAACAAAATTTTAATCGTTCTTAACTATTTTCTATCGTTAAAAGCAGCACGCACTGATGACTCAGCTAGTACCTGAGTATATGGACTGAACGTGCATTGAACAAATGCAGCGTGCCGGTTAACCAACATGTGCACAACCACCCTTCTAAAAGTCTGCTCGTATCACAGATATTACAACGGTTTTAAAGACAACTGAGAACCATGAATTGAAAAAATAAGTTAATTTTTAGGACGCAGAAGTATGTAGAAGACAATAAAGCAACTAACTGTAGATACTCTGAAAGTTAAGGCAGCTGGTAGTGACGTCTCATCGAAATGACCGCGCTGCGAACAATATCCAATATCCACTTCGAGAGTTGACGTTCAATATCTAATACCGTTTTTAGAAGCTAGCGTGCACCCGACTGGCTTCTTTGTGCTCCCTTCTTGGTTTTAGGGTAAAGTTAAAGGTCTTCAGTGAACTTCTGCGTAGTTCGTCCTATATTTGGTAAACCCCAAGGGGAATGGTACTGGGATTGATTGTGTTTTGTAGTATTAGGTGTGTTGAGAACATGTTAGTGGAGTTGGCCCTTTCACCTGTTCTTCATCTGGTGTGGTTGAAAGGACAGACAATATTAGCACTGGGCATAATCAGTGTAGATTATGCAGAGTAAAAAAGGAAGAATCGTAGACAGATAGCTGATAAAATTTGAAATTATTAGGTGAATCAATAATGATATAAGGGGAATAGAGTACTCAAAAGAGTGAAACAAGAGAGAATGAAAAGCATCAGAACGACAATTTTACGCGTGGGAATTTTCGGGGATATGAAGTTTGGACGCAGTCCTTTTGTTGGTGAGTGATTGTCCAGCCTTCGCCTAAAGCTTTCCATGGACGTTGAAGTAGCCACATTTTCTGGTAGAGGATTCCAAGGGTGGAAGACTAAAAGCGAAAAATTGAAGCGGAACAAATTCGCCGTGTTTTTTCATATGTTTTATGCTGAATGTCAATAGCGTTTTATGCCACCCTACCCAGATCTTTTCTAAGGTGTTGGAATTTCTTATAACAGTGTGTGAGCTATCCTGTAATAAACCTCAGTACATGCGCTCCGTATTTCCCTAGGAGACGCGATGGGTGAAGTTGAAATGGTGATAATATATCCTCAGTTTTTGTATATGAGGGACGCCAATTTACAGGTATCATCAATATGACGAATAATAGATACATGAAGTAAGCGTATTTACAATTATCTACCTATACGGCATATATATTTAAGAAAAGGTGGTAGTGTGGTGTCAGTAAGCTCGCCTTACATCACTAAAAGCAATTTACATGATATAATCCTAGGCATCATTATTGTTTTAATTTGACGAAAATGAGCGTAGCAACTGCAGGCTGAGTTACATTTGGTAGGAACGGTAGGCTATTCACAAAATCATAAAAATGGCTTTTAAAATGTTAGTCAGTTCACACTATTATTATTATTATTATTATAAGGTGAATCTGCAAAACCCACTTTAGGATTGTCAGGAGACCCCTCAGCTAGCTCGCAAGGACTCGCAGGTGTAGGGCTAGTTGAGTGTTAGGGTAGAGAAATTACTTCTTGACTGGATCCCAGTAGATAGTCGTATGTGTGCAGTCCGTCTGAATGGGTCCGTTAGAAGAAGGAAGAACGGCGCTACCCGTCATTGTCTTTTCATAGTCTCCGCTTACGCCCCAACAGACTGCAGTTCGGATAAACTAAGGGATAATTTCTGCCTGAAACTGTCTAATTTGCTGCAAAAAGCAAAACGTTCAGATATAGTTGTTTCAGCAGGCAACTTCAATGCCCAAGTAGCGAAGTTGTGCCAGACAGAGTATTATGTAGGTGGTACGTATGGAGTTCCCTGCTGGCGAACCTACTACGGTGATCGTTTTCTACAGTTCTGCTCAGATAATCATCTATTTCTAGTCAGCACTAACTTTAAGCACAAAGAGAGATATTGCGTAACCTGGCTACCTCCATCATCAAATCGACGCTGGACTCAAATAGACTACATAACCATAGGGTATCGTTGGCGAGGGTCAGAACAAGACTGTCGCTCCTTTTAGAACACGTGCGTAAACTCTGATCACGCCCTGGTTCGTGCACGTGCTTACGATTAAACGGATATAAACAATTGTTGGTAGCGAGGCAGGTGCGTCCCCATCTAGATCGAGACACTGAGTCCCTATTTAAAGTAGAAATAGCGAAACGTGTATCTGAGATCGACAGCAGGACTTCCCCTAAGGTAGCCCGGTACAACATACAGTTAGCTGTAGACACAGCTGTAAAAGCTGTTAATAAATAACATGAAACCTAAAGTTAGTAAGAGCCATTGCATTTCTACCGTCTCATGAGAAGTGATTGACGCACGAAGACTGATCCCGGTGAGCTCTGATTATGATGAGGAGCGAAAGCTACTCAAACGCAAACTAACAAGAGGGCTTCGTAACGACGGTGAACAGTGGTGGGCGACAAAAGCGAAAGAGATGGAGGAGGCATCGGCAAAAGGGAACACTAGTCAACTATTTAGACTTATCAGGGAAACAGGTAAGAAAATGGCAAACGATAAGTGAAACAATCTCTGAGAAAAATGGCACCATAATTAACTCCCAGCATAGACGACTAGGACGTTGGAGAGAACACTTTGAGGAGCAGTTTAATTGGCCTACAGCCACTGTCAACTTACCCAGCATCCAACACCTCCCTGAATGGGACATAGACACAGGTCCTCCGTCCCTAACTGAGGTTACTAAGGCTGTCGCTAGTCTGAAACGAGGCAGTGAGTGACTATGATGATGCCACCAGTAGCAGCCAGAGCCCTAATGCAATGGGAACCAATTTCATCCAGGATTACGACAACAAAATCCAACTCAAAAAGAAGGAAGGTTACAATTATCCAATGCTACAAACAACGCGAAACAAGAGAAGGAGGAAGATTTTCACAGACAACTACAAACAGTAATGGAAAACATCCCAAATAGAGACATCAAAACCCTTATGGGTGATATGAATGCCAAACTGGAACCTGATAATACAAGGAGAGAACTCATCATGGGTTGAAAGGCTCTGGCTCGGAGGCATGAATAAGAACGGAGAATTATTCGCAGACTTCTGCTCTTTCAATGATTTGGTAGTCAGAGGAAGCGTGTACAAACACAAGGATATACACAAAGCAACATGGATTTCGCCTGACAAACATACCACAAACCAGATAGATTTCATCTCAATGTTGCCTCTCAAGGAAGTGGATACGCAGCTAGTCTGCTGGATACAAAGTTGAGAAGGGGAGCAGATGTGGGCTCGGACCATCATCTGGTTCAAAGAACCTTCAAGGTAAAACTGAAATCCATGAAAACAACTGGAGACAGACCACTGTAATGCATGTTCAACATTCAGAAACTGGACAAAACTACAAAGGATACCTCAATACATATCTGATCAGAGCGAAGTCGGAGACACTACGTGGAATCACTGGGGAAACCTGTGTGGAAGAACATTGGAACTCTCTGAAAGCGATATTCAAGGAAAAGTGTACAACTGTTCTAGAAAGAAGGAAGAGACAAGATGAGAAATGGCTGGAAGCTAATCGAGGAAAGAACGATAGTGAAAGAGAAGATGACTCAATGCAAAGATGAGCAACAGAAGGAGAAGCTGAGTTCAGTGTACATCGCACTGAATAAGGCAATGTAGAAGAGTGCCACGAACAGTAAAAGACAATTCTACG